TATAAGGCTTCAATAGATAGCAAGTTTGAGAATGCCATTTTAGTTGTAGTTCAGCTGCCACTACAACTCTATGGGAAAGGGTGAATGGGCTGAAAATGTTTTCCCCCCATCATTATTTTATAGTGATTCGATACACGCATGTCAGACAAATCTGACATGTGTGAAAGTCCTTTCCTTTGGCCAACATCATGTATGTGTTCTTTTGAATTGTCACAACATCTACTGACAAAGAAGAACTTTGTGGCCATTCTTATTTCATAGAATGACCAAGGAATGTGAAGGATTAGCTTTAAACTAAGACAAACAGTAATTACAACAAAAGATTCTTCAGCTCCCCCCACCACAACTTTAAACTATAAACTCTTTGGTATGTTACAATGTCACATGAATGCAGACCACATTTGTGCCATACAACATCCCTAGTTTGTCTTGAAAAGTTTTTCTTAGCCAAGTCATGTAGTCAAGCCCACCCCCTATACTACTATTACTGTTCCAAAATGTGAATAATATGAATGGGAGCTTATAATCAACATGGACACGAGGCAGCACTTGCACTAACTATAACTTAAAACCATCTTTGCTAAATTAGACTATGAAATTAATGTCGTCAAAGGTTCCACAATAATTTCTTATCCGATTAGTTTAATTTTTTTCAAATTTGCCCCATCTTCTATAAATAAAGATTTGACGTCATACCTGCATATTTTCATTTGCTTGCACCGACTCAACGGTGCTGATTCTGCTCAAAGTGCTGTGCTGACAGTGTGCAAAGTGGGCGCAGTTACCTGTTTGGGAGGCGCAATGCATCTCCAGAGATGTTTGCTAGTCACCTCTGCCAACACCGGCATTTTGTTATAGATGGAGGAGAGTATTTTTAGCTTTTTCCTCCTTCCTCATGTATTGAGACCAAGCCTTCAGGCATTCGCTGTGCTGGTACAAAGTTATTGAAATTGCGTTCCAGACACACTCTTGGTACCACGCTTGACCCCGTTTACGAGAACGGAATGGGCCGTGGATGAATTGTTTGTGCGGCGGGAGGTGAGAAAGTGCGAGGAGGCCAAGTCGATTCCATGGAGGTAAAGTGCTGGTCACATCAGGTCACTGAGGAGACATCAATCACACTGCCCAACCAGTCCATCACAACGGACCTATGGCAGACCAACCTCTATGGACAAGTAAACTATTGGATTACACCGATTAGCAGCATGCATGGCTAAAGTAAAACCTCTGTCAGAGATATAATCAGATCCATTCCACTCTGGAGGGGTTCAAGCTGAAGAATAGAAAGTCCCAAAACCTGATGATATGATCAGTGAAATACATCTGAAGGGGTGTAATTAATGACTATTTTGATATTTGGTTAGATCTCGAAAGGTCAGTAAATGAGATTTTTTTTTTTAGATCACACCCATCACCAGAGCTGTGCTTAAAAGAAAAAAAAGTAAGATTTTAATACAATCTCATGAATAATTTATTTATATATGTATATATATATAGATTTTAAATTAACAAATAATTTTCAATAAGTAAGATATGAATGCAACAATAATGTTGAGGTTCTGCTAAAATGGGGCTGTGCTTTTTTTTTTTACTAAATCTTATTGTATAGTTTAGAAATGCATTGTTAGTATTGTGTCAAGACAAAAAGCTACATGAATTAACTACAATTAACTTGTTACCACCTTACGTGTATGGACAATACACATGTATTAAACTTAGGTGTATAGTAAAGTAGCAATAAGATTGAAACAGAAATGCATAGAATGTAAAACCCTCAAATGAATTGGAATAAGCCATGTTGTAGACGTTTACCATATCAGACCCAACTCTGTCTGCCAGGCTTCAACAATGCTTGAATCCTTAAAGTAGCATTAGCAAATGTAATTTCAGATGTGATTATTTGGCGGATGGTCCGAGATGCCGGTGTACAAGACAACATCTGTAGGACTCTCTTCCTATGAGGCTCAGAATGGAGGGTGGGACTCAGCGGCTGCAGCCATTACTCAGAGTCAGCAGACGCCCGGCCCAGACAGCCATCTGCTGCAGGTGCACCTCACTCTGCCTTCAGCTCCATCTCTGTCACCAATCTGTCTTCTGGCACTAGCTACTCGCCGAAAAGTGAGCGAAGGATTTATGGAGAGAATTCCTCATTTTCTTTGTTTATCCTTTACGTTCATTCATATTTTAAAAGCTGCCTAACTTTGAAACCACAAATAATTCATCCTTAGCTCACCTAGCTCTCAAAACAGTTCTGTCCCATCAGCTTTAGATCTGCCTTATCAGACAGAAAAGTGAAAGAGGGCCATCCTCGCACAGCCAATCAGCTCTCAGTATGTAAAATGTTTTCCAATAGGATAAAAACAGGCAGCGGTCTGATTCGTTCACAAAATGTTACTTAACAAACAACATGTATGAATCAAATGGAAAGTTAGGTACTCCAGCTTTAATGTAAAAAAAAAATAAAAATAAAAAAATCATGTTTTCAATCTAAGGCGGATTATTCTTTTGGTGTCCTGAAAATATATATACGACCTGTATGTAGAATGTGCTTGGCATGCAATAAGTGTAATTTGATTTCTGGAGCAATTCCACAATGCACAGGGTTTTTTCCTCTTCCATTTATCACGAAAAAGAGGCTGTGAAGATGAGCCTGAATGTTGACAATGCAGATGTCTAGTTGGTTATGAGGATGATGTGCACTCAGAACCCCTTCACCTCAGCGCTGAATTTAAATGAGACATCAGAGAAGACGTTTTCTCCCTCTATTAACCACTCTATGAAAGCTCGAGATATAGCTGTGATTGACAAGCAAGCCCCGACTGATTGAGGTCACTCGATAATCTGTCTGTTTATGTGCGAATTAACACAGAAGCCGAGAATAATGTGGAGCGGGAGGCAGGTGTGATGTGCAGCGGGACAGACACAGGACACGCAGAGCCTCGGGGAATGCCATCAAAGCAGCCAATTGCCGCTCTCAGGAACCTTCAAGGACAGTCTCAGTCACTCAATGTGACACGGGAGAGGTACAGTGTGGGGGCGAGCCGGAGAAGCAAGACCGACACATTAAACGGCACGGTGTCTTATTTGCCCGATCCACATCCATACAGCTCCTAATGTAAACTGGATGCAACATTTCCTTTCTCACTTGCTCGTCATCGGTCGCCCGTATAGGTCTGTTATGAGGTTAAGCCACCCCACCCCCCACCCTTTTATTGAAGCCACTCTCATTAAACTTATTTGAAAGGGTTCACTAGTTTCATTCCTCTATAGGCCTCAGTTTGATTGCACACATATCTAACACACTTTACATTATTCACACACCACTAATTGATGCATGTATATACACACGCACACATGGTAGCTTTGTACCTACAGCTGTGGGTTCACTAGAGAGAAAAGGCTAATTCAAAAGCAGTGATCTGTACAAAACAATTCTACAAACCATACACTATATAGTATTCTGCATAACACGTTACACTGCAGTTTGAACCCCTCCACATTTTAAGCTACGCAAAGTCTCTGGAAGGTGCTGGTTTAGCTCAATATTCAACACAAGTCAATACTGTTTTGTCTTCTACTGCCACCCTGTCGAAAAAGCTTTGACACAAACCTTTAAATCAGGCTAGGCGTTTTCATAGCTATGCAATTCACTGTAATTACTCATCTGTGAAGCCATAAACAATGCAGACCTGTAGAGCTTTTATAGATAATACAACGTGACATACCCGTAAAGAGAGACGGCCATAATGCAATGAGATAATATGAATATAGCCGGTGCAGCCTCTGGTCTTTCCTGAGACCGCAGCAGCAGGAGGCAAGCTCATCAAACAGCCATCATCTCTGCTAATGATATCAGTCCTACCAAGTGGCCATTAAAACATTTAGTCAGATGGGCAAGATGAGCTGGTGGGAGGGGGCTTTTTTATCTGCAGTTAAGTGTAGACATGCAGAGAGGCTTCTGTCTGGATAGGACAATGTATGTCATGATGCAACAGCTGCAAACATAGTAACTAAAATTTACCCCAAAGTAAAAACGTGCAGAAAGACAGCCGAGTCTGATGAAATAATCATTGCCGACATTTCTTCTAAGAGAATGAACAATCACTGCTGGTCCCATTCACTCCACTGCATTAACTCCACAGCGAGGATTAAATATTTATCATCAAAGGCTCACCTAAAGAGCAGTCACATCTACAGGGGACAAAATAACCCAACTCTGACACCAGCTCACCACCTCTCCTTTATTTCATGGAAAATATGGTTTCATTTGCACAAGGGGAAGGAGAGCTCAGAAGTGTACTTTACAAATCTCTCTGTGACCTCATCTCATCACTGAGGACAAGGGAAATGTCCATATTGCCACTACATAGGACCTTATTATTCAGAAGGCACAAGTGCTGCTCACAGGTACGTCACATATAAAAAGAATGAACAGCCTGATTAAACAACGGCCCGACTACCCATCAGACGCTGTTATTATAACCTAGAAAGAGTCTAAAGATAGAAGAACCAATTCTACAGTCTTAATGAAGCTAAGAGGAATGCAGAGGAATGAGTGATGGTGACAGTACAAGGGACTGGATCAAGAGACAAGACAGAGAAGCTTAGGCCTTCAAACAGATGCTAGGAGGTTAGTATGGAAACCAGGCTACCAACAGGGATTAAGATGCAGCCTTTGTTAGATCACAGTATTTTGTTCTGTGCATTTTTGTGTCACTTTAATGACCTGCGCTAGGACTGAAGAAACTCGCACCGCTTTAGTCACTTTTAAATTCATTGTACATAATATATCTTGCACGAGACTGTAATTTAACCTTTTTAACATGTTTATCAAGTTTATCAAGTTTATCTTACCTCCTCTTATTTTATATAAATATTCAAACTTGTTCAAACTATTACTGCATTTTTCATGGTTTAAACATTATAACCCACATTACTATGATTAAAAAGGTTCAGACATGGACAATCAAATGAAGGAATGCACACAGCAAAGACATGTTTTATGTGTAACCTACCTCTGGTTTAGGGACAAAGGCACGACCAGGAATGGTAAAACAGCTGTGCACTGTGCAGAGGTATTGGGACATGATGGACAGACGACTCCTTTGTCTGCTCCCTGTGCTGGCTGTTAGCCTCTAAGACAGGACAAGAACATTTGGATCTCACTTTTTGACCACATTTAAAGGTAATTCCCTTCTCGAACAAAACTTACCTCGACAACCTCCTTCTGGAAAGTGAGTGTGAGTTGAGTGCGTCCATAGCTGAAAGGCCCTGTTCTGTTTGCCACATGCTCCAGCCACTTGATAATGAGAGGCGTTGATACATTAAAAGGAAGATTTCCAATAATGTGGAGGTTTGGAGGATCTATTCAAATATGAACATTAAATATGTTTTGAGCAAAATGCAAAGATAACAGACTTGTTACGGTTTCTTACCTTCCTCCCATTGCTTACAGAGAATTCCTGGAAACCCTCTGTCCATTCTGTAGGTGAGAATGTCGCCATGAACTACTCGTAATCTTCCAGGAGCCGCCTCAGACAACAACTACAAATTAAAACATGGCAACACATTTTTGTGAATGTTTACATATTATTTAAATCCAGAATTACAAGGGTCAAATCTAGCATACTTTTAGTCCAGGGATAAAGCGAGAATCCTTCTCCACAACCAGCAGGTCTGAAGCCCCGGCATTGAGAATGGATCTAGTCAAACCTCCAGGACCCGGGCCTACCTCACAGACGTGGGCCCCCTTCAACTTGCCAGCTTGACGTACTATCTTATCTGTCAAAATAGTGAAGAAAATATGAGCTCAACTGTTGCAGTATCTGGTTTTACTGTTCTTATTTTTAGTCCATGAGTCATACGATGATGTCCTGAGGTTACTGCAACATGAAGTAAATGTCATGACAAATCATACAACTTCTTCATAATCAAAGATATCTGAAAGGATAATAACTTACTGTACAAAAGATGAGCCACAATAATCATTAATACAAGAGTCACCTTGTCCAAGGACAAGAGTGAAGATCAGAGATGCACGGCATCAGTGATAATTACATTATATAGGTGTAAGCTCTACAAGCACAAAAACAAGTGACTTGGTCCACTCACATTAGCCGTGGATCGACTGAGCCTTGCTTATACTGAAAAGCCTGTCAGTTTCAATGCCCAGAAACACGGCTACATGGAGCTGTGCAGTCAAGTGCACTCTCAGACTTCAGCATTGGGTCTACACTGTTGAAATAGTATCAGCCAATGGTGCAATGCAGATATGGCCCACAGAGACAATAGAACCAGGTGCAGAAGGTGAGTGCTGACCTGTGAGCCGCAGATCCAGCAGAAAGTTTTGGGAGAGCTGCTTCACAGCGCGTAGGTTGTACAGTTTGATCAGTTCACTCACAGTTGGTAAAGGAGGGAGGCGAAATGTTGCCAGTTTACCTGCGACAACCATTGTCTGACCTGTAACAAATAATATTAATCAAAAAAAAAATTAAAGTCATAATATCATAACTCATATGACATATTTATAACTACATACAACCCATATACGGTTAAAATTTGCATTTACAGTAAAATAAAAAAAATAAAAAAAATTAGACTAGAAACTGAAAAGCTATAGATATGATCATTTTCCTGTATTAACAGTTTCTACTCAACTGTTATATTTACTATACTGTTAATATTTAATACAAACTATTTAGCGATTATCCTTGCCTCTGTTAACAGGTACTGTACTATCGCACCACCTAGTGGTTAAAGAGCAAACACAAACAACATTATCTATATATACATATTTAAATGTAAATGTACGTTTGACAATGTACAGAACTTGTCATCACATATAAATGGTGTAAAACATCTATGGTAAACTGAATCATTAGGTTCAATAAAGACATTTGATGCAGCATAAAGGTTGCAGTGCCTTGCATGATACCACAGATAAATACATCTGAATCCAAGTCTCTTCTTGACGGCAGGAGATGACTACATGTCCTGATGTGGAATAGTATTGACAAAATAACCACACGTGGTTAGTATTTTGCTAACACACACACACAAGTCTCCACATGTCTTTCACTACAATAAGAACCAACATTTTAGATTCTGCATCTTGTTCCGGTTCATTTGAGCATTAGTCTATGATTAGAAGGTGGCATTGCTCGGGAACATTACATTACTTAATACAATGATTGAATGAATGTATGAAATCTACAGCACTCACGGATGTTTTTAGCACTAGCATTGGCTTCTATGTCATTTGAAGTAAAAATGAAACAAGCACAAACAAACCGTAAAAGGACAAAGTCCCTCCAACAAATAGAGTGAAGAGTAAATAATAAAAGTACAGCCCAGATAGAGTCCGTTATTATAATATATCCATAGTAAACCCACGCTTCTCGGTTGTGCCGTTTTGCCAGACTTCCGCATACGTCATTGATCTGTAGTTATTCTGGCCAATGGGAAAAGAGACTGTTTTGCTTAACCAATCATCGACACGATAGATGGATTTTTGTTTGCCCTTGAGCAGGACGTCATTGTTGATGTTGTAATATGAGGACGCCAGCAGAGGTCATCCTTTAGAGTTCTGCTTTTCTTGTACTTTCAATAAAAAATAAAAGATAAAAATAACATTGTCCAAACAGACATAGCTTTGCATGCAACTAAATCCCTACAGACAAGACACTTTACTTTTGTGTTTGATCAAAGTAATTCAGACGGCTCACCAGTGGGAATACTTGAAAATGAAGAAAACAGGGAGAAAAGTAATGTGTTTTCTGGCTAAATGTAGGATAAAGAGTGCTGCTATGACTATAGTGCAATCATCAAAACAGGAAATGAAAGTCTGGTAATTAACATTTCTGAACACATAAGTCATCACTATAACCAAGAGATCAGATGGAAAACAACTACAGAAAAAATACTTAGGAGTGTGTAATTTCCCTCCCGATTCAGAGGAACAGCCTGACATCAATGAACACACAAACCACAAAGTTGTGATGCCTGCACCATGTTCAACAGCAACTTCAACATACCCTTTTTTGGGACACTTTAGGCCTGCAATATGCTGTTGCGTTACATTTCACACACAAAAAATTGCTTCTCTGAAAAATGATCCCAGATGTGAATGTTATAAAATAACCATATAAACCTTATCTAACTGTGCCATTATGTTTGTGAACACAAAGAAACAGTAAATATACTAAGAGAGTGGGCGATTGATGCTGACTAAACACAAGTTGTAGTTGTTCTCAGTATTGTCAGCAGTTGTGTTTATATGATGTCAGTCTAAATTATAGTTAAAAATATATGAATTTGAACATTTCGGAGACTAGTCATTGTGCCAGGAAGTAGAAACCTTAATTAGGCTGAATTGTCCATCAACTCTGGAAATAGAGCCATGGCCACATAACAGTAACACCGCATAGAATACTAGTGTTTGGGGAATTTCTGTGGTTCTCTTTGTGCCTCTGTGATGTACATGTTTTGGTATTTTGTGGCATTTGAGAATTGATGGCCATTTAAGGACAATTACAGTGAAAAAGCATTTAAAATCCATTAGACTTCTCTGTAAAGGAGTAACTACAGGCATGTCCAAGGCATGTCCCAATCTGTTGGTGTTTTTGAGCAAAATATATGAAAGTACAAAGTGGAGATACAGTTTGGTCATAGGTCAAATTGAGTAATTATTGGTTTTAATTTAGTCTTAGAATCTTGACATTAGACAAGTCTTAATAGTGAACCAGTTTGAAAGCTTCTGTTAAAATCATATAAAGGTGCACTACATAAGATTTTGTGGGAAAACAGATTGCATGCACTCATCCTGATGTGTTGTTGACATGTTGTCATGGAAACATGTGCTGCTATACAACAAGTTGTTGTTTGAATTCTGAGTAATTCTAAAATTCTACATGCCCCTTTAATGGGATTATATTGGTCAATTCAGTGTCTGACAATCATGAAGAATGTTTTGACCCTGCAGCCAAAGTTTTCCAAAATGAGGTTCGGGACGTCACCATTTTTTAAAAATAATCTTGTTGCTTCAAACATTATCTTTAAGTGCCACTAAAGCACACAAAAAACTCCACTAAACGATATTGAAATTATTAGTGTTTATCCATAAACACTGAACCTTGATATATATATTTATCAAACTCTTATTCGACAAAAGTAATTATTTGGTCAAATACCTTGTTTTTAAAAAGTCACATACAGCACAAACAATGAACTAAAAAACTATACAAGAATCAAGCATTTCCACAAATGCTTGATTCTTGTCCAAATGATTACTACCTCTACTGTTATGAAGGATTAGAAGATTGCTACATTTCAAGATGGTTTTAAATATAGTGTTAAAATATATTTATCCAGAAGCTAAACTGCATGTGCAAAGTAAAATTTGTGTGTGCAATTTTAAAATAATATAAAATAAATTTAATTTGTAGCGCCCAAAATCACAACAACAGTTGTCTCGACGGGCGTTGCAGAACAGCCAGCTCCCAACGGCTGGGGACCAGTCCTCAGGTCCAGGGAGCCAGGGTTTCAAGTCCGACCAGTGCGTTCATGACCAGGGACAACAGGTGAACAACAATGCACAAACCAAATTTATTAAATTAAGAAAAATTAACTGTGAAAACGAGGTCTATTTATCCTGCTGTCTGTGGATGTGATGGGTTAAAGCAGATTAAAATAGACAGTTGGGGACAGTCATTGAAAGTGTATTCACAACAGTGCATTAAAGAAGAAGAAGGTCTTTTATTCGTCCCACAATGGGGAAATTTCAGTTTGATGCATACACGTACACATATACAGTACATACACACATCAAGGCAAGCAGCGAACATTACTTCTACACAACGACAGCAGACATCAGTGGGAGTCGGTGAAGAAGGGCTTGTGGTGGGCTCGAACCCACGACCTTCGGGCCCAAAGGCCAATGCTCTGAACACAGTTGTGTGTGTATGGGTGTTAAAAACAGTGCATTAAAAACGGTCCTGTATGTATGGTGCATTATAACATTTGAAAGAAGGAAGGATAGTGAATTGAAAACAGTTGTGAATGAACATAAATGTGTTATGCAGTAGAACCAGTTGAATAGAAAAAATAAAATGAAAATACAAATCTAGCCCACTGGGGAGCAGAATAAAAAGTTGCAGGTGTTACTAGTTATTTATTTGTTTTATCTGACCTAACCATTCGCTTATCTAAAGAGGAACGTTTTAAGCCTGGTCTTGAATAAAGGGACTTTGTCTGCCTCTTTGATAGATAAAGGAGGCTGATTCCACAAGACAGGAGTGGTTTGATTCCACATCTGCGTAGATCTGTTTGCTCCAATGTTCATATATTTTGCACACACACGAACACCTCACTGATCCACCTGCAGGAGGATCAGTGAGGGGCTGGTGCTCTGTGGACTGGGTGCAGCTCTGACTGCCACCCCCCCCCGACCCAGAAATGGATTAAGGGGAAGAAAATGGATGGATGGACGAACACGTTATAAACATATCCCAACTCTGGGAGAAGCTGATAAATTGAATTAGAGACCCCTGCTGTAAACCATTATTTCCCACCCATTTGTTGCGTTGTAAAAATCGAGAATGAATACTGCACAAGTTAAAACTACATGGACACTCTCTACTGGAGCGATGGTATACTTTACACATTGTGAATAGTTCTTTCTAAGGATGATCAACATGGGTGAAAACATCTTTGTGGCTACAGTCCAGGGACAGTATGTTCAATATGCTGACTGTACTTGGTCCTTCCTCTGTATTCCTGGGCCCCGTATTAACATGTGAGCACGTCAAAGCTCTCAGACTGACCCACGAGGCGAGGTGAGGTCTGCCCACGAGGAGGCTACAATCACTCAGACTTGTTATTGCAGCGGGAGCCTTCTGACAACAAACTGGCCCTGTGGTGGTGTCTCGGAGAGCAGCTTTATCATGCTCCTGGTGGGGGGTAATACTCTGACAACAGTGCTGTTGCTCTGCAGAAGAAAAAAGCCATGTTCAAATTCTCTGCAAGGACCGAAGAGTACAGAGGAGTCTGTAATGACATCATAGAGGCAATTATGTCTGCTGCTTTGTGTCAGAAGTGTCAGAAAAGATTTATCGGAGCAATAGAGCATTGCAACAGCCATCTCTAATAAACCAAAAGGAAAAAAACATGTTCTGTACTGACGTAATGGAACGGATGCTCTGAAATACTTCATTATAATACAATTGTACTATGGATGCAGATCTCAGTTATGCACTATCTAACCTAGACTATGACAATACCACTACCACATTGTCTTGACCTGCATCTTATAGGATTTCAAATGTGTTTTTTTTTTCACTTTATTGTCAGACTATCCAGTTGGATTAATCATTATTCATCTTTTTGAACCATGATCGTCCCAGTGAAATTATTGGACTCTTTTTTTAGGGTCCTATACTAATACATATGGAGCCACCTACATGTGAAAGCCTGATCTTGGCAGGCCTCGGAAAATAAGCAGTGCACGGCTTAGTCAGAACTGTGATGGGAGACCTTTGGGAACACCAGGTGCAACAGTGGAACGGCTGCAGCTGTAGAGTGTGAAACTCTCGTTGTGTCTTTAGGAATGACACTCCATCCAAATTGCCCAGTTGGAGTTTGGTCTGTGCATGACTGTTTATTGATGATTTGAGGGGTTGATGGCACATACTAGTTAACCCGCTTCTGTAACTCTGGCCACAGGTGTAGTTTGTCACCACAGTGTATGGAGTGAAAGGTTAATGCTGTGTGGAGCGTCTTTGAGTGTCCAAAAAAAGCGCATTATAAAACCAATGCATTATTATTATTTAGTAATAATAAGTATATGTTATCCATGTCGGGAAATGTGTCCTCTATATTCGACCCATCCTACCTTAAAGCGAGAACTGACTGGGAAACCTGTCAGTTCACAACAGAGCCGGGGCCCGGGGACCCATCTCCAGATGTTGATGCTCAACTTGATCAGGACTACCTTCGCTGAACGATTTCATATGGTGCATGTTGTAAGTGCCTGATAGAAAGCCAGACCTGAAAAGAAGCATGCAAACTTCACACTGAAAAGCCCGGGACGGCAAAGGCCTCAAACCCACAACCTTCTGTATGTGAGGCAACTATTCTGATTTGTTCTTCTCAATCACTTTCAAACTTATAGTACTTTTTTCATTTTACAAACAATAATATTTTGAAGATATTCTAATGTACTTCTAATTCTCTGGTATCAATTACCAAGAAGTGCTTGTCATTCCATTATATAAGTGAGGGAATGGCAGCTTCTTTAACAAGCCCACAGCTCTGGAACCACAGCCCTTAAGAGTCCCGATAGCAGCAGCAGCGTCCGCACAGTGAAATCATAACAAACCTCTTCCTCTCTGGGTTTCACCACATGACCTCATTCTGGGTGTGGGAAATCATGGCGTCCCATCAAAATACACTCCTCATGAGCTCACCGGAGAGATGGCCCGTGTAGATACACCACATGCTGCGATGACATCATGTGGAGGCTGCAGACAAACAAGCTCTTATTGTCCTCTCCACATTTACCTGCATATAAAGCCGAAAGCACAAAGATGGCATTGCACAAACACAGACCGGGTCAAAACAAGGCATCAGTAGTTTGGTGTCAGAGCGTGGAAGTCATTTCAATTTAGTTTCAGCAAATCCACACCCTCACATCTGTGCTTTTATTGTTCTCTGATTGGCAACAAAGTTCACTGCACCTTGTCATCAAACATCAAGCCCATATCAGACTTTTATTAAATGAGTCATAGTGCTAACATTGCAATGATTACACAGGACAGTGGACTGGGAGAGTGGTTACTGTTTATCACAACATTTACAATAAGGTAATATACTACTCGAGTTGGATGAGTTTGGACTCATGAACAATAATATCTAAGCTACTGTTAAACAAACCTGTTTTCATTCTCTAATTTGTATTTTGTTTTTATACCATTTCAGAATAAGAGAACCTTTATTTTGTCCCACGGTGGGAACATTTTGATGTTGCAGCGACGGCATACAAAATATACTGAGATAGTAGATGTAAATTCTTCATACGACAGATACACTGTAGATAGATAGATAGAAAGATGCAGAAATTTGTGCATTCATACAAACAAAACAAATAAATAGATCCATCTAAAAATAACTAACAATAGTATTAAAATGCAACAGCACTTTAGGTCACAGCAGCAGAGGTGGTGTAGCCGCTTGGTTTGGATCATTTTCTCTGCTCGAGTTCAAAGTAAAATGCTTTGTTATCATTTACACACACAAAAAATATATCAGTCCTCCAGTGGATTTTCACCTGATCCACTTGTTTTGGACCATAAATTCTCTCCACTCTGGTCTGGACCAGTGCAAAACTATAGCAGTGAGTAAAAATCAATAATGTATTTTTCTGACCTTGGAACTCTGTACTATTATCTACGGTAAGTATTTTCCAACAATAATGATACACTTTTTTGATAGCCCCTCCCATAGGCAAACTACACAACCAGTGTGATTTCTGGAGGAGAACAGTTAGGCCAAAATAACCAACATTCTCTTTGATAATGAGGGTGGAGAAAAATGTATTGAAAAAAATGATTGAAAATGTTTAGCTTCGATCCGCTGCCCCACGACTGCAACAGAGCATGCACCCCGTTCTTAATGAAAGAAATCCCAGCTGTGCTCTGCTACAAAAATCAGTCTGTGTACCTTCTTATTGATCAGATAACTTCATATTCATACGAAAAAGAGAAGAAGACACTCCAGGGGCTCCATACACACTCACGCATAATTGATTTGAATGGAGAATGAGACTTTCCCAAACTTGAGAGACGGGCACCCTGGAACAGAGTGGAGATATTGGGTGTGGGGGTTTGACTTCAGTGGTCATGCTGCAGGGGTCCGGAGTGACGTGGGTATTGGAATCGGCTCATGAGAAGATGCAAAAAGGATCACTTTCAAAGAATGAAACCTCAATGGAACAATTTTTTCACCCGCCTGTCACTAAATGGACTTCCAATGGATGTGACAAGACAGCTGACCTTGCACTAAATCTCACTGTTTATGTGTTTGTCATCTTTTTTTAAAATGTATTTGTGTTTTTAAATGCAACATCTCCATAAAAACGTAAATTACAAAAACATACACATGATTATAGAGTATATCCAGACTTCTCTCTCTACACAGCATAATTTCAGTGGGATAAAAGGTGATTTAAAAGGCAGCTCCTCCTTTCACATCCTTCATATCTGAGTGCATTATTGACTTACTCCTCTGGCAAACAGACTGTACTGCTGTTCTGCCCCTTGTTATGGTCTTGCAGTATTCAACATTTGAGAAGATTTTCTTGTGCTATTGCAAATGATAGCCTGACTGCAAATGTTTAAGGTTTATATCCTAATGCTGATTGCAGAAAAAAAAGCTTGTCCATATTCTTTTAATATACTGTAATTTCAACTTGCCGGACATCACCCACAAGTGAATATATAAATAAAGTTTCCACTTAGAGGCTTGAATCATGTTAGAGTTGAAAAAAAAAGGTTTAGTTTGTAGTGAATTTTGCAAAACTTTACAAATGGTGCAAAGCGTCAATGAGTTTTACACCAATAGCTCTTCTAGTTTCTAGCTACCATTAGCTTTTCTCTACTCATAAATATTTCCACAATTGGAATGTTTATCCCGATTCAATCCAGTCTTTACTGAATATTACATTTGGCATCTGAAAAATGAACTGAGACTGGGGGTGTGCATTGCCCCAGATGTATCACGGGGATCAAGATGCAAGGGTCATGATGTGATTTGATATTTCCAGTACTAATTTTAAAGGCAACTATTGCAATCATTTTTCAATCCATATACTTCAAATGTTCTTGTGAAGTGGGAGGATTATTTTGCCCCCTGAGGAGTTATGGGCAAATATTACAAAACTGTAAAATATGCACGAGTAGAAACAAAAATGGGAAATTCCACTACTTTCTTTTTCATTCTTATCCAATCTCACTCTCCCTCTATAAGAGCATTTTTAGAGTAGGGTGAAACACAACCATAAGGATGCAGACTAATTGTTTATGTCTCTATTTTAATTCAGCTTGTTTTGAATAGTGAAGGCTGAAGGGGCGGTCTGTCTGCCAAAGACCACTAGCACAGTGTTTAGCGACTTTCAGGCTGTCCAAAGTCAGCAGTGGGAGGTTTTCTCTGACCACTGCAGGAGCTCGGGTGGCTACTTGAAGCTGGACTTTCCCAGGATGTTAGAATGGCATGGTGGACGTCAGCTGTCACTGGCGGGTCTGCACTGCAAGTTATCCCCTGAGCAGGACGGTCCCAAACTTCAGAATTCAACTCGCCTCAGCTGCTATCGGCCCATGTGCTGGAAGCAGAGACCTGTTAAAAATAGACCAGCATTTATAGCCTCAGTGACTCCTGTTTGAATGAGCGGGACAATGGAGGAGAAAAAAGATCTGCAGCACCTTTGCCCTAAACACTGTAAAAGTAACTAACTAACTAACTTTCAAACCACAATAAAAGCTAATTTTCTGATAAAATATATGTAACTAGTTCCTTTCTCTCTAAACAGGTGGGTTCTGTCTCTAGTTTTTGCATACATGTTTTTTAGCCTTTAGATCATTGTTTTCAGACAGAAAATAGTGGAAAAGCGCAGACCACCATCAGCCCCCAGCTAAAATCATCAAAAAGTGACTCTACACAGTTCAATATTTTTGTGTAACTGAGAAAAAGAAAGAAAAAGGTTCATTTTGCTAAACCAAAAGTAAGTAATTTCTCCAAGCTTTAAACTATTGGTATTTAACTGGCTAATATGTTTGCCTTTTGAAACCCTCTAAATACAACAAGAAGACAAAATGCCATTCTTTGGATTGAATAGTTATAATCATTTTGTATTGAAATAGCGAGATCATTTCAACAACTTATTATTTCTAGATTTTAAAAAATGGGTAAGAAGTGCATCTTACAAATCATAAAACCAGTTAGTGAAACATTAAAAAGTGGCGTCTCTACTACTGTTTTGGAATCATTTATATTGTGCGTAAAGCTCGGGTACCAAACCTTTTCAAATACATAATACATTTAGTTTGTCCCAACCAGTGGGGGCGGTCCCGGCTCAAAAGTGGCCAAAATGACGTGCGCTGACATGCCACAATACCACCCCGGGCCGATGGGGGTGGACCCAGAAGAAGAATTAGCCAATGCTAACATATAGCATTGGCAGACCTCTCAAAAACGTCTTTACAAGATGGACCAAAAGTTGGCTCTCGGCCCAAAGCTCCGTTCCACATGAATTTTTTTGGTCCACTCTAGTTTACTCGCTGTGAATTTTTGAAGTCTCTCGTTCAAATGAATGGAGCTCTAACCGGCTGACGCATGCGCAGATGCGTTTTTTCACAATTTTCTTGTGGGCGGGACCACTCGCGGCCATTTTGGATTGCTCCAGTAGAGCACATTTTTTGGCCCATTAGTTAGAACCGCGGAGATAGGCGTGACTCTGTCCGTTAATATATACAGTCTATGGTCCCAACAGAAAAGCAAATCGATTTCAACATATCTTTTGCCTAATAAGCCCTTATGAATCACTCATTGGGCCTCATGTATGAAACTTGCGTACGGCCAAATCAGGGTGTGTAAATGATGCGTACGCAAAATATTTACACTTTTCCGCATTTATCAATCTGGACGTGAGCGTACGATACGCAAAAAATATACGCCAGGTCTGGAGGTGGTGTAAATGTGTACGCTCATTTCAACCTTCTTTACAACACGCCAAAACACGCATGAAATGCAAGATTTGGACAAAAATATACATATTCCCACTCTGACTTTTTTATTTACTTATTATTAGCACACCTCTCACATTACAAATATGCAATTTTACGATGTTACGCTAGGGCTAGTTTGTGTTATTAAATAACGTGCAAGATGTCAAACTTAGTCTCCCACAAATGTGTGGATTGTTATATGCACCTACAGTCAGTGCGTAATGGCATTTGGTTCATGCGGGTCCAAGCGGGTCCAAGCAAAGACGCGCGCCACCGTGGAGCGCTGCGCGGGTCTGATCAGGCTCTGGGACATGTAGGGGGTACGCTCTGGTACCTCCCGGTACAAGTGTGCCACATGGTCCTGGCTCGGTTCTCCACAACAGGCACAGGACCACAGTGTGCCATTGGTTTCACAGTGACATTTTTTTACTGTTTTATTTGTTTTATTTTTGTCTTTTAATGTTGTTTTATGTCTGTATTTGTCTGTGCACACTGGAGACTTTTGCTAATGTATTCCAATGTGGTTTTTTTACTGCAAATGGCAAAATAAACTGAATCTGAATCTGAATCTGGTGGAGCAGCCCATGGATGAGAGACCATGGCCAGCACCGCCTTCGGCCTGTACAGCTCAGACAGGCTCTCATTCAACCATTTTAAAATAATAATCACATACATAACTTGAAGATAATTTTATTTCTTTATATTTTCTTTTGGGTGCCT